ACTCTGGGCCAATCACCAGGAGACGGTGACTTCTAGTCTCTTCCTTAGGTATGAAATCCAGCTGGGTGACTTGGGTGCAATCACCAGGAGACAGTGAGTTCTAGTCCCGCCTTAGGCACGAAAGCTGGCTGGGTGACTTGCGGGCCATCATTCTCTCTCTCTCTCTCAGCCCAACCCACCTCACAGGGTTGTCGTTGTAGGGAAAAATAAGAGAAGGAAGGAATCTTCGACACCTTGAGTTACTTATAAAAAAAAAAACCCCACGATAAAAGGTTGGGAATAGTCAATACAATCCCCTCCCCCCTCTAGTGCAGGACAGCCTCCCCGCTTGGCCCAGAACGAGGGGGACCCCCGGAGCGGAAGAAACTCACCCTGGTCACTTAAGCGGCGCTGCTTGGGGTTGGCGGAGATGCTGCGTTGTACCTTGTGCGAAGGGGAGGGGACCATGCTGTTGGCGAGCTCCGGCTGGGGGCGAGGCTTGAGGGTACTGCTGTCGTTGTCGAGCTGGAGGAGCAGGGAAAAAGGGGGGGTGGGGGGGATGTCAGAAAAGGCTCCAGCCCCCAGAGGGGGCTTCTCGCGCAAGCCCTCGCAGGCAGAGGTCCCCCCCCCACCCAAAAAAGGAAGTGAAGATGTTTTCCGTTGCACGGAGGAAAAGAGAAGTTTATGCTGGGACTGCCGGAGCTTGGAACAGAAAACTTGGATTAACGAAAAAGGGGCGGCTTTCTTTTGGAACCGAAGCATCTGTTGCGACTGCGTTTGCTGCAAAAGAAATTAAAAGGTTTCTTCTTCCCATCTCTTTTCTTCTTTCTTTCTTCACTTTTTGTTTCATTTCTTCTTGCTTTCCATGAGTTTGTAATTGGTTTTGATCTTCTTTGCAAAACTTTGCAAACTTTTATCTTCTTTGCAAAGACTATCTCTTTCCTTCCTTCCTTCCCTCCCTCCTTCCTTCCATCCACACTCATCTCCTTCCTTCCTTCTTTCCCTTTCTATCCACCTGATCTCCTTCATTCCTCATTTCCATCTTCCTTCCTTCCATCCACACCTCATCTCATCTATCTCTTTCCTTCC